TGGCAGAAACGAATCGAAGAGAGATTTGGTTCGCTGCAGGATACAGGGCTAGACCTTTTCGGGATTGTTCCCAAACGTTCTCAGGGTGAGCGTGGGCTTAGGTCGAGTCCCAGAGCGTAGGAGCGCTAGCTAACTAGGTGCCTTGATTGCAGGCATGTTCATCTTTGCGAAGTCTGTCCTCCATTTGCTCCACGAATGGATGGCGGAAAGGTTTCCACACCAGCTGGAGGAGGTGTATAGCCGGATACTCCAACGGCTTCTCGACAGCCACATTGCCGTCCAGCAACGCGACATCACCAAGAAACTGTTGTCTTGGATCTCCCTATCCAAGAGGCCTTTACGGTGGTATGAGATACAAGCCGCCATCTCGATCGACCTTGAGAAAGAGAGCGTTAATGACGCGAACCGCCGATTAGTGGATACCTCGAAATATTTGTGTGCATCCTTTGTCGAGATATATCCCGATCAAACGGTCGTGTTTGTTCACGGCACTGTCAGAGAGTAAGTCCGAGAGGACAGATACCGTTGAAATACCATGGTTGTGTCCATTGCTGATATTCTATAGTTTCCTGAAATCCGCGGGCGTGGAAGTTATGATCCCGGCGAAAGTTGAGCTTGAACTGTGCCTACTGAGCATAGCATATCTCAACCTCCCAGCTATCTGCACTCCAGGGAAAGATTCTCTAATACGAGGCCACTTTGCGTTTTACGACTACGCAGTTGCCTATTGGTCCCACCATTTTATGGCGTGGCTATCTGAAACTGACCACGATGACTCCGACATCTTGGAGTTGGAGGAGACTTTTGAGCCATTCATCGACCAGCACTTCCGCCACGAGTGCCCACCGATCAACGTGTCCAAACAAATGCACGAGAAACTGCAGCCTATGAAAGACTTTGAGTTCTACGAATCATTGACCCAAGCCGTTGTGTGGTCACGGAAACAGCTCCTCGTCGCCGACGACCTAGAAACTGACGAGAACAAACAATACCCGTTGGACTTTCCCAACATCTCACGGCTAATCAGGTCGCTTCTCGAGGATACCGTCAAAGAAAACCCAGCGCAAGATGTCAAGGAGGCCCTAGAGCTGTACTACGGCAGGAAATGGTTCAGATGCCCAATGCTCTACTGCCGGCACTTCTACGACGGCTTCGAGGCGCAGGACGACAGGGGAAACCACGTGCTTCGCCGCAAACGGGCTTATATGTGCACATTCGAGGGGTGCCATATGGCCACCTTTGGTTGCGTCTCCAAGAAGGACCTGGACAAGCACTTGCTGGATACCCACGGCGTGGGACGGACCTTTCCCACCGTCCAGGACCCTAACGGTTCGTCTCGTGTCCTGAAACACCCAGCAACGTTTCAATGTACCCTCTGCCCGAAGCGCTTTACCCGTGCATACAATATGAGGTCTCATCTGAGGGCACACACAAACGAACGGCCGTTCACTTGCACCGTATGCGGAAAGGCATTCGCGAGGCAATGCGACCGTAAAATGCACCAAAACCTTCACTCGGAAGAGAAGAAATTCGTTTGCAAAGGAGACCTGAAGAACGGCGGCCAATGGGGTTGTGGGAGGCGCTTTGCACGTGTGGGTGCCCTGGGGCGACACTTCAGGTCGGAGGCCGGTCGAATCTGTACCAAACCGCTCCTTGATGAAGAGATGGTTGAGCAGCAACGAATCTGGGAAGAATCCACCGATGGGTAGGGCTTTAATTTGACTCAAGTTACAGAGAACCCTGGGCTCCCACCTGCTTTATTACAGCAGTATCCCGACCTTGCCCAGGTGGATTTCGACGCAATTGTTGGACGACAGCAAGGGGGCACAGATGGGGGGGGAAGCAGGGGCTTTTGAATACGAGTAGTTTGAATAGTTCAAGTTTGACAGAAGCTCTCCTCTCGCTCACACGTCAGAAGTGAGTACCCACCCACTTCTGGCTGGGCGGCGACAAGCTGAATGCGGTTGCTTGTTGAAGGCCAGAAAACTTGGGAGTCCAGCTGTGCACGACGATGATTGGTTCCCAGTGCCGATATTTTCCAGGGCTGGTGGGGCTAGAGATGAAGTCAAACCAACCGCAACAGTGGCTGCAGCAGCTTGAACCTTGAAGGCCAGGAAAACAGCGAGGGTCCAGCGGTACACGATGGTGATTGGTTCCTAGCGCCGGAAATTTTCAAGGGCTGGTGGGCTGTGCGCCCAGGCACAGGCTGCTCATTGAAGGTGAGAAAACTGCGAGTGTCCAGCTGTGCACGACGATGATTGGTTCCCAGCGCCCAAACTCTCCAGCTGGTCGGGTGTGAGCCTCCAGGCAGCGGTTGCAGACTGCTCAATTGCAGCCAGAAAGTTTGAAGGTACATTCGCGCACGATGGCGATTGGCGAGTCCTCACCCTGCATCGCCACACTGGATTCGCCAATACAGCGGCGAAAAACGTCCGAGGGGGGTCAATTGTGCCTGTGCTGCTCTGGGGCAGTCGAAAAGATTGAGGTCCCATGAGGTGCGATGGTGATTGGTCTTCAGAATAATCGTGAGGCATGCTAGAACCACCCGAGCAGCGTGGCGCCTCACACCGCCTCACGCCTGTGCTGCTTGGGGGCACTCGAAAAGTTGAGGCTCCTGCGACACACGATGCTAATTGGCTTTCAACAGAGTGACACATCCACCCACATAGGCAACTGAGGCACTAAGAAATCAGCAAGGACATTTGAACTGGCACGTGACGGCTCTGCCAGGTGGACCCGATTTGTGGGCCCGCACATTCAGCCAACCGAGTAATCACTTTCCACGCTCGAATGCAATCCCAACACAACCACAGGAAACCCCGTCTTGAACAGGAACGCGCGTTGACGATTCGAAGAGTGGCGTTTCTGATCTGACCAGCTGGTAGTACCTACCTCGCTAGATTTTTTTTTTTGTTTTCCCGCCAGTGCAACTCAGATCCACTGATGTTGTGTTGTGCTCAACCGGAAAATATGGCAACATGACGACTCCGCACAACATATTGCCCGGACGATAGCTCGCTTCCACGTCGAGCCAAACCCGCACAAACTCCCCCAAGGGTTCGCCCAACTCGCGAACCACCCAAGCATTCCTATCAGCACGCCAAGACCGATGCCAAACTCGTATAAGCTCTCCCAGCGACGGGCTTAGCGCACTCACGGTCACATGTGGAGTCATGATCGGCCTTGGCCATGCTCGACCGCCCGCCTGGACATTGTTTTGGCACCACATCCGGGGAACAGGGCCAGAACTTCATGCTTGGCCCAACACCAATTCCCGGGACGGTACCTGAAAACTCTACCTGACCTCGTGGCGAGAACGCGTAGATGGGCCCGCAAGCATTCTATTTTTGCGTCACTCTTACTCGGTCGCCAATCCAGATCAATTTGGACACTAAGTGTTCGGCTGCAGATGTCAACAACAAATCCTCCGCCGTCCCGCCCTACCCCAGATTCCCTCTCGCCTTTTGTCTCTCAGCCCGTTCTCGCTCCATAGCTCACCCACCGGCAAATTAACGAGACGCGGTGCTTATTGGCCTCGCCCTCAGCTATTGCCCCGATATAGCACCCGTCGTCCGTTGAACCAGCCTTGGCGCCCCCGCTGGCTAAATCTTGGACCGCTTCCGCCAACCGGGTGATCTCTCGAGATGACTTGGGATGGAGTCTGGCTCTGGCCGACAAAAGCTGCCAGGAACGAGCCAGAGCCACCACGTCACTTTGCAAAGGTCGAACGGTCCGGTCGCCTTCGTGTAGGTGGGCGCCGCAGATTGGATTCAATATGGGAGCGCAGCACGGCAATTTTCACCGTCTGATAAACATCGAGCCCGCACCCAGCCAGGAACCAACCCCTGGATAGGCGAGGAATTGGTTGCTATATAAGGTATGCTACTGACAGAACCTGGCCAGCTCGCCCCCGCTCCGCAGTGCCCAGACTCGTGATCTTTCCACCCTCGACAAACATGAAGTCCCTGTTCATCCTCACCGGGCTCGCCCTCGGCATCACTGCTGTTGCCGAGCAGCTTGAGCCTCGCCAAGGCCAGGTCTGCCAATGGACCGGCCATTGCATCGGTACGCCCTCCCGCGCCAACCATTACTCACCTCCCTTGACTAACACTCTCCAGGTGACCGCTGCCAAACCGAAAACGATTGCGACCACGACTACATCTGCCGCAACCAGCGCTGCGCCGCCTTCACCCCCGCCACCACTGCCAGGACCACTGCGCGCACCACCGTCCGCGTAACCACCATCCGCACCACCGTCCGCGGCGGCGGCGGCGCCACAACCCGCACCATCGCCGGCACCGGCCGTCGCACCACCACCGTCTACGTCACCGCCCCCCGCCCCACCACTGCCCGTCCCGGCCAACCCCAGCCGCAACCCGCGTGCCAATGGACCGGCCACTGCCTTAACGATCCATGCCAGTCGGAGAACGACTGTGATGGGCAGCTTGCTTGCGTGAACCGGAGGTGCTCGAATCCGCCGGGTACGATTTTCACCACGACGGTCAGGGGCGTGCAGCCGCAGCCGACGGTGGTGACGAGGATTAGTACGATTCCGAGGCCTACGGGAGGCAGCGGGACGCCAAGGTGTGGGGATAATCCGTTGGCCTGCATTGGTAAGTACTCTGCTTCTTGAATGGTAATGTGGCAAGAGGCAAAGGGGAAAGGGGCTAACTGAAGGATAGGTGTCAGTTGCAGGTCGGATGCGGATTGCGGGTATGATTTGATTGTTTGCAAGAATGGTGTTTGTGGGCTTTGAGTGAGACGAGGACTGGCGCAGGGGGATGAAGGGTGGAAGCGGTGGAAGCGGTGGAAGCGGTGGAAGCGATGGAAGAGGTGGGACATGATTGGTGAGAGGGACAATGTCTCTGTGCATGTACCAAAAAGAAGGCGCATCGCCATGTGAAAATGCAATTGTCATTCTTGCTGTATAAAAGATGGCACCCTGTCTTGCTGGTGTGGGTTGGAATGATGTCGGGGTGTGCAGGAAGAGCAAAAACTGATTCCCCCACCGGGGTTTGATCCCGGGTCTTCAGAGAGCCTATCGTTGACGACTGAAAATCTGATATGCTAACCACTACACTATAGGGGATGCCTTTTTTCGATGGAAGGTTTCTTCCGGAGTTGAATAGATCACGGCTGGTTAGGGCTGCCATGTGAAAGGCAAAGCTTGAGATGGAAGACGGGTGGGGTTGTGGCGTGAAGGTTCCACCCAGTTACCCCTGGGGTTGTCCATGAGATCACACGGGAAGGCTTCGACCGTAGGTTGAGAAGCAGATTTAGATTGTGGTTTGGGTTGTGAATTTGACTCAGAGTCCTGGACATAAGGTTCAAGAGTTGCCTTGAGGTGAATTGGTTCAGCCACACAGAGGGAGACGAGGTAGATTCTGCCCCTGCACATCATGAGCCGGTCGGACGTGAGGAGCACCGTCGTGAAGAATATGGGCTTCACAACTCCAAAGCACTTCAGCAAAGGTACAATTTAGTGAAGACAAGAGCGAGCAAAGTGAGATTGTGCGCATGGTTGAGCGCATTGAGGTTGACTTCAGGGGCCCAAGATGCATTATGAAACGCGTCGGATACCCAGCGCTCACCCCACGTACGGGTGCTGTTGGTTTTGGCCCTTTGATAAAGCAATAGAGGGTTAAACCATTTTCTTGCTACGGTTTGACGGCTTGCCAACTTTTGCTTCCTTACTGCGCTCCGCCGCTAATCGGCACCGACTCGGTCGAGCTGCTGGGGACCGGGAGGTCACAACGTCTCCAGCGGAACGCAACCTTCTCCAGGCGTGTCACAGACAGCGTAGCAATCTCTGTCAAGTTGCTGGGCAGGAAGCGGACCTGGGTGTTGATGTTGAACAAGGCCTCGGGGCCGCAGCGGGACCATACCGCGGACGCCATGTCGATCTGGTCCTTTTTCAGGATTTCGCCCTCATACGGGCCCTTGATGTCGGTTGTATAATCCATCTATTTTCCCGCTTTAATTAGCACCATTCTGTGCAAGGGATGCAGAGACTGAACATGCCTGATCTGCACTCCCCGAAAAGTAGTAGATCGACTTCGCAGTCCCAACAACTCCCTCTGGAATCGACGCATCGCCCCGGTATTCCGTCTCCGCCAAGGTCACCTGCCAGCCGGAAGAATACTGGAGCTTGATATTGAGCTGGCAGTTTTTTCGGTACTCAGTTACCGAGATGCTCTTCCCCGTCATGGCTGTGAACGTCGTGTAGTTCATGGTAATTCCTTCGGGGTCGGACGCTGTTGTCAAGTTCATCGAGCCCGCGGGGCAGCCGGAGCCTGCGAAGATGACACCCGCGAGATGGATCTCTGCAGGGAGCGGCGCGGGATCTTCGCGAGCGATGGGCGGTGCGGACAACGCGGACGCGATGCCGGCGAGGAAGGGGAGGAGAATTGGGTGCATCTTGGGCCGGAGAGGACCACGGTCAGAATTTTTGTGTATATAGGGGTCGTAGCTAGAGCGTTCCAGCCTCTGTTCTAGCGTCTGCGTCTGGCAAGGAGGGAGATGACGGCGGTCATGGTCATCGCACACTGCATTCCAGGCTTGATTTATCTCTCTCTAGGCCTCGAAGGATTCGCCCTCTCCACCGCACCTCTCAACTGCAGTGGGAGTATGCAATGGGAAATAAATGACTACGTTTAGAGCAAGCTAGTATTACAACACACACTCATTCGCGCTTAAATTAACAGAGTATCATTTCTGCTATGGTTAGGCGTTGGGCGCGTGCATTGTGTAACGTCACGTATTTTATATCATTTCAGGGGGATGCCGGGCTAGAAGTTGCGAGTGAAGAATGTCACGGTGTCCTGGTTAGGGAAGCCGTAGGCGACCGTGTTGGTGGGGTCTAGGCAGACTTTGAGCTGAGAAAACGTGAACAAACGTGGCCGGCTGCAGGGCCACCCTCGCTTCCGGGCTTGAGAAAAAATGTTTTAATTTGTTTACCAAGCCGGAAAATCTGCCTTTAGTATGTTGCGGCGCAGCGTGCCAAAAATAGTATCTGGCCTGAGCAAAGGCGACAAACCTGATCAAATCCAAAGCAAAGACTCCCTACCTGACTAGGCCAGCCCTGAACCAAGGCGAGCAGTGCTACGAAGCCGAGGTGTAATGAAGGAAACTTGCTGTGTCCAGGTTTGTCGTAGAAACTCACAGCAATTAATACAAACACTTTTCTCATAACAATCCCCGGGGTTCTATGCACGTCCTCAAGCTTTCTCGTATAATTTCTCAGGATACATACGTCCGGTATCGATTAGTTTCGGTTATGGTTTTGTGATGTACCCTTCCCTTGCTCTCCCCGAGCCTTAGGTGGCGCTTAGAAAAGAAACGATCTAGGAGACCACGCCGAGCCCACCGGCTGGAGGATCTAAAGTCCCAAGGTCCGAGAAAACTGGCTGGCGAGTCGTTAGCCAAAATTCCACTCAAGAAATGGGAGCATGACATCCTCATTTGCATCCCACTGGAGCTCGTTCGAAAGATGCTCACCAACTTGCCCGCAGCGACCCCTGGCACGAATTTTACCTGGATGCCGCCTTGAACCCTGAACGTTGGCCTGAACCTAAGTGCCACCCTGAACCTTGGACACCACCATAAACCTTGGGTGCCGTTCTAGACATTGGGCACTGGATGGGACTTTAGATGCCGCTCTGGCCTTTGAACACCGACTTGAGGTTTGGATGCCACCCTGAAGCTTGAGTTGTCGTAGTGGACACTGGAGAGGGAGGGGGAAGGAGCAAAATTGGATCATCTCATGCCATATGAGCCCCTGACCTGTTCGTGTGCACATAAAGTCCTTCAACATCAATGCCGGCGCCCGCATTTCTACATCCTCCTTCTCCACGCTCCGTGTGCCCTGTTCCCGCGTTACATCGAGGATGCTCTCATCTCTTTGCCCCGCCCCCTTTATCTCTCACCCCCTCAACACCAAACACCCCGCAAAATATCCCTCCAACCCCGCAAAATCTTCCAACTCCCCCATCCACCCAACATACTGATCCGGCCTCACCGCAACCACACACCCCCTCTCCCTATCAACTCCATAATTTTTATACGCATTCCCATACCCCTCATGATAACTCTCATCATCTACAAACACCTTGTTGTAATCCCACCCCACATGCTCATCAAACGGATGGAGCACCTCCGGGAAATCCCTCAGGAGTTCCGTCTCAACCCGCTTCGCAGAGTGAATGGTGAGGACTTCTACCACGGTATCGATTGGTTTACCAGATGGTGTCGCACGGCGGAGGAAGCTACCCGGAGCATCGAGCTGCGCGCAGAACTTGTCCACTCGTTCCTTCTGCCCAGGGTTGAGAATGTTCCCTGCGAACAAGATAACTCGGAAGCGCCCGTCTGCTTTGAGCCTCTCTTGGAAGTGCCAAGGTCGAGCGCACGCCTGGTTGAGAACCCGGAAGCTGTTGACGCGCATGCCGACTGGGAGACCACTAGCGAGTGCCTGCTTCCGCTGGAACTCCTCGGGGGTGATGGCATGCGTAGCGACTAGCTTCTTCGTCTTCTCACTTCCGTCACCTTGCTCGGCGGCATCACCCGGCTTGACGACGATGCAACTAGGCCCGTAGTTCACGCTCAGCCCGCTGGTGAACATGTTTCCCTTGAGGAAAGCCTCCTTGAACTCTTCCATGCTGACGCCCTCGGCGTCCATGACGCCCTTGGCTGGACGTCCTGAGAAGAGACGGCTGAACTTTTGGTCGAACTCAATCAGATCCTGTGCGACTCGGCGGCGCTCGCTCTGGTAGCTGGAGAGAATCTCTCGTTTGCATATGCCCTTTGCGACGAGGCCAACCTTCCAGCCAAGGTTGAATGCGTCTTGCATGGAGACGTTCATGCCCTGGCCTGCCTTGGGAGAGTGCGTGTGGACGGCGTCAACGGCGAGGAAGACGCGTCTCTCGGCGTCAAAGGAGGTTCCCACGCGTTGGCCAATCTGGTAGGCTGTCCACCAGTCGCAGTACTCGTAGTTGATCTTGTACGGCGCGAGGATCTTTTGTGCGGCGGAGAAGATGAAGTCGGGTGTGATTTTGGATCTGTCGGCGCGACCCGAGGCATCAGGGGTGACTTCTTTGAGCTGGATGTACAATCCAACGAGTCGGTTCTCACGGGGGATGACCATGAGGGAGCCGTTGGAGGCGGAGTGGATGGCGCAGCGCATGCGAATGTCGGCTTGAGAAGTCAGCATCCGGTGAAAGGTGCAGTAAAGGGGTGAATGCAAGGGAAAGTGGTAACCGTAGTGATATCAGAGACTCTTGTCTCAGGAAAAACATCAACCCGACGTCAAGGAAAGAACCAGCCGATGGGGAAAGTGGTAGAAGATGACAGAAGAGAAAAAAAAAAAACTCACGAAAGTCGGTAACCGGAATAATATCCATAACCCCCCAGATAAAATCCGTCGCCTCCCCATCCAACTCAAACCCCAACGTCCTCCTCGTCCAGCTCCTCGCCCCATCACACCCAATAACATACTTGGCATTCACAACCTCGCTCTCCCCCGCCCTCGCCTTACTCTTCCGAATCAAATCCTCCTCATCATCCTCCATCCCAAGATTACTCCTAAACAACCCATCCGACGCCTTCACTTTGCTCCCCGACTGCGCTTGCGGCGGCGTCGCCTCCTCGTCGCTCAGAATCCTCAGCTTCACTTTCACGGGGTATGCCGCATCATCTTCAACCTTGTCCATATCAATCTCCAAACTCTCCGGTAACACCCCTCTCTCAACCTTGATCGTATCCCCGGAGTACTTCTTGATATTATCCAAGAAAAACCGCTCAATGCGTCCCTGATGCAGGACAATCTGCTGGAATCGTGAGAGTCCTACAATGGTATCAGGGATGCGATCAGAGCGACGGATGACGCCGTCGGCGCCGGGATTCCACATGCAGATTTCAATCATGTGGTTGGCTTCTTTCCAGGCGCGGTCGCCGAAGCCGAGGCTGTCAAAGATTTCGAGGCTGCGGCATTGCAGGCCATCGGCTTGGCCGCAGAAGATTTTGGTGTTGCGCTTGTCGATGATGCGGGTGCGGGGCCATGAGGCTGTTGTGGGATGTTGGATACTCGAAAATCAG